TGGCTTCGACGCCGTGTTTCATCTCGAGATGGACTTCGCGTTCGGGTCCGGTCTGGTGTCCGGTCTGGAGGTATGAGACGAAGCAGAAGTCGAAGATGTCGTCCTCGTCTGAGGTGACGGCGAACTTTCCTCTGTCGAGGTTCTCGCGGGCGAAGGCCGTGTGACCCTTGGAGTCGGTCACCGCGAGGTCGGTGCGCTGTCCCGGAGCCGGTGAGAGCTCGTACTCGCCCGTCACCAACACGTCTTTACGCATCTCCTCTTTGAGGCACCGCTTAGTGTTTGGTTGCAAATGAAATCTCAGACATTGTGTCGGCGATAGAGTCACGCCTAACACCACACAATACACCGCCAAACAGTAGGTCCAGTGTCTCAACCACGAGCTCCACACCTCTGTCTTCATTTGTTGTTTGGATGGCTTTCACTAATTGATCGCTGAATCAGTGGATCCGCTAATGACGAGGCATTGAAGCGCTGAAGACGTGATGAACAAATCACTGTATGTTGTGATGAGTTGTGATGTGATTGTCGTGTTTGTGATGACGCGACACATCACTACTGCTGACATCTGGCGGTCAATACACGCATCGGTTGTCACCTCATAAGCCGGTCACTCAAAGACTTATCCATTGTTTTACGGTTATTCTCCAATGGATTAAGTGATCATTAAATCCATTGATCCCACAATTAAAGCTATAATTTATACCAATAACCATAACTTGTAAGCCCTTTCAACGTTCAATTTAATGCATACAAACATTAAGTGCTTATAATTTATATAAAACTTTGTATGAGAATAAAGAAACATAAAGAATATGATTACGGTATAATATACCGGTATAAAAACTATTGTAATAAAGTTTATTGTATTTCAAAAAACATTTTATATTCAAATTCATGTTTTTACTAATCAAATAAATTGTAAAACCCATCAGTTGTATAATTTATACAATTATATACCTGTAAATTGTGACTCATTTGGATCCTTCTCTAAATTTAGCCATTCTTTCTGGAGTTAAAAACTTTGCGAAAAGATATCGCGATATTGTCGGCAGATATTGTGAGGTATAGTATAGGGTTAGAACCGGTTGTAAAGCAATCCACGACTAAATAAAGTGATTCAAAAAATAGAAAAATGTTTTATTCAATTCAGTAATTAATTGATTAATTTGTTAATTACTTCATCCAAAGAGTTGGCGATGGCTGTGGCCATGAGGTGAGCGCAACGATTTGTGTCCAACCGCTTGTTATCCTTACTGTGTGTGACCACTGAGTGCTGTCCGTCCTTTTTGCCGGACATTGCGTTCTCCAGAATCCGCGAGAAGACAGGTCCGGGACATAACATTGTGATTGATATACCCTTCGCCTGGGCTTCGGTTCGCAGACACTCGTAGTAACCCTTCATTCAAATTAATAGTTAACTAAAAAATTCATTTCACTCGTCAGTACTTTAACTTACATGTAATGCATGTTTGGATGCCGTGTAAGAGGCAGAGTTGGGAACACCTAAACAAATATAAATAGGTTTTTGACAACAATTTTATTTTATCAATAATTCAATTAAGAATTTAGACCTAATTTTCCGGCAGTGCTTGAAGTGACCACAAAATGCCCTTTAATTTTGTTTTGTAGGAAATATTTCAAAA